TATATATATATATCAAATGAGTGCAGAAAAATCTGTTATGATTTGTTGGTCCTAAAAAACAAATTGCAGTACCCAAAAGGATTCCATACATGTTATTTTTCAATCTTTGTGGGAAAGTCTAAAAACAGCTGACACATGCTAAACTATTGTTTACATCCACAGAATCACGTTGTCACATCTTTTCAGTTCTGCATCAGTCCTATTCATATTTTTTGCCTAATGTCTTGTTAACAGGAGGATATTCTTCCTCGCACTGCTCATGTTTATAAGTGAACCTGCAGCAAACAGTTGCCTATGGAGACCAGTGAAATCAAGCTGATATAACTACCTGGCTTTTTCTTTGAAAAGTGGGCCTGAAATGTATTTAAGCAGTGTTTTTTCCCCATATTACATTCAAAAGATTCCACCCAAACCTTCTACTCTAAAAGACAAGTTTAAATAGGACTCAATCAAACATTTAACATTTGCACATTATCACATAGCCTCACATGTGCAAGGGAGCACTCCCAGAGTTACCAGGCTGTGTGATGCTGGTGTGATTGCTGCATGGATCATGACCACTTGAGCATTTATCTTTTAATAACCCCCTACCCCACACCTCACMTGCTGCTGCTGGACAATAGTGAGACGGTTCCAAATTTCAGCAAGATAATGGTAGTCATATTGAGATGAAAAAGGTCAAGGGTTGCCTTGTGAGGTTCTGATTGGTTTGGAGCGACACATTGTCACCCTCCCCCCTCCTCCCCCAAGATGAAATGAAAAGCAATATTTCATTTATGGCTTCACCTTTCTAGACTGTGTTGCAATTTTATGTGATGAGGAGGTCCAGATCTGTGATGATCAAATTATAAACACAAAAATGGTGCTTGCGTGTGATGTATTGCATCAGAAGGATTTTTAACTGTTTTTTATGATCAMAGACACATGCTGTATACATTTTCTGTATGCTCCATTTTAAATATTTAGACATTCAAATTGTTCCGCTGTCCCTTCAACCAGAAAAGATTGATGGGTTTTGTTTATTCATATGTATAAGATGCTGATATGCTGTTGAACCTGCCTTTGACCTTCATCTGCTGACATATATTCACTGAGCTACAACTGCAACACTTTGCATTATTTTTTTTACATTAAACAACTTTTATGCTCAAGAGGATGATTTAAATTACATCACACTTATTTTTTAAATTAATGACTCAATTTAAACACAGTTCAGAAATAGTACCTTATTGGTATTGTTTAAATTAACCCAAAAAACACACCTGAATAAAACTACATATTTTACTATGTTTACACTGCTTGTGAGTTTTTGCATTTCCTGTTTGGCCCAGTTTTTACAATTTGTTGATGTTTTTTTTTTTTTCTTTAATTCCACCCCGAGGGCCAGATGCATCACATTATGCATTGACCCAGGCTGTATTTTCCAAAGAGCAGTTCAGCCAGTGGGAGTGGCCTGAGCTTGTGGTGGAAGCAGCCCTTTAAGGTCACTACAGCGGTCATGTGATAGGCTAGTGGAGCCCCCTTGGGCCATATGACAAACCGAACTGCCAGAGCGAGGTGTGTGTCAGGGGTGTTTTTCCACAAAGCATTCTATAAAAGTGTAACTGGGCTGTATTTGCCCTTTCCTCCTGCTACACGTTCAGCCAACAGGCCCCTGAAGATCTCTTAAAAAGTGCTGATCCACAGAGCTGGGCTGGTGCTCGTGTAATCCTTCCAGCTCTGCTCCACCTTCCCTTATGTTCTCACCCTTTCCCCCACATTCCCTCACACTCTGCTGTGCTGGTGCGAGGGACTAGGTGATGGGATGAGGGGGGCTTGCTTGGGCCCCCCGAGCTAATTACCCCACATTAGGGCATGACTAAATAAATTGTAAGTGCTGCTAATTGCTTGGCAGTGAAAACAATAACTGTTTTTTTTACCCAGAGGCTCTGGGGTAGTGAGAGGCTGGGGCACTAGGGACCTGGGGACTGGGGGCCCTGGCACTGGGCCAGCAGAAGACACCAATGCCATCAGTCAGCTGCCTCATACGCTCTGCCTTCACACTGAAGTCACACACCACTTGRCGCTGTTGCTACATCTGCCCCACACCCACCGACCAGTCTGACAGTAACAGACTCCCTGCAGCCTTCAGCAGCAAAGAATGAGCCATACATGACAAGCTCAGACAAACTCAGTCTGTCTGTGGAGCCATCATACATCACTGCATTAATAAACATGAATTAGTAATGGCACAATTAGATGGGGCTGTTCTGACATTTACTGGTACAATAATGGTATTCTCCTCTTTCCACCCTCCCACCCCACCCCTTTGGCCTTTAGTGGAGCGCCATCAGACCTCAGACATTTGTGATGGGTGGAAGGGCCACCGTTGTTTCAGTCTCTATATCGTAATCACTTTTTTATCCCGGCTTTGCTGTCGTATTTGATATAAGCAGCGGAAGAATGAAAATTTCAGTGTTGGTTTGTTTGTTCATAAGTGTGCATTTATTGTTTGTGATTGTTTTCCCCTCAGGTCGCAGTCTGCTGTGTGTGTGTGAAGAAAACATTTGAACAGCCTGAGCTGCTAACTGGAGCTGCTGAGACCCAAAGGTGCGTTCAACACAGACATTCTGGTGGTCCTGCTGCACAGACCAGGACATAACAAAGCCTGTAATTCTACCAGTACCCATCAAACATGTGTGACAGACAAAACAGGAAAATCTCTACTATTTCAACATTGTTCAACATTGTCAGACTTTTATGTTTCAAGCTTGACTCAGAGGAGGTATATTTCAAATTTTGTCCTCACAATGGAACCTGACCAGTCTTGACATTGCAAGAAATGCAAATTATATTTTATCTAAACATTTAWAAGAGAGGAAAAAAGGGAATGTGTAGCTGTAGTAGTTTGGTCAAGGGCACTTATTTTAAATGTGCTTTATGAATAAAATATGCTTGACAAAACTGTTTATGTAGTTTGTAATGCCAGGTAATACTTCATTTTTAAGAGTAGTTACAGGAGATTTTTTAAATTTTTTGTACTGTTCAGATGCATACAAAGTACTGTACATATTTCAATTAAACTTAGTAATTTGTTTAAATATATTATWTATCAGCATATTTTTGTGTATTTCTTTTAAAGTTCTTAGTGATTTCCTTTTCCAAAAAAAATGCTATGCAGAATTTCTTTGCCCTTTTTTTTTTCTTTTTCCCTCTTCAAACCAGTAGCTTCATAATTGCAGTGTCATTCTTTGGCAGGATTTCCCTGTTTTCCCAGGAGACTCGTGTGCTTTTGTTAGCTTTTCTGTGTACACACATGGCCTAATTAGTTGATTAGTTCAGCTTGACTGGCTTGTTAATTGAATAGTAATTTATATTTGATGTGTCTAATGAATAACCTAATTTATTCGTTGGCACTCATCCAAAGGTTTGCTTTTGAAAGAAAGAATCAATCTAAAAGAATGAAAGGAAAGATGAACATGGTTCAATGCACAAGTGTTGCTTTGATGGCACATGTGTTTAGCTTTTGAGTAAGGTGATAATACTTGAGTTTATCTTCCTAATTAAGTAGATTTAAACACAATAGCTCACCATCCATGTGAGCAAGATATCTGTAATTAAAGTCCTTTTTTGTTATTTATTATTGGAGTAAAATATAAAGAGTTTTCTTTATATTTTTACTGCCCACATTAACAGATACTGTGGTAAAGAAGACATTGTGCTATCAGAAACTAAACTGTTGAATGATTATTCAGAAAAGTATTATTCAAGAATTATAAGCTTAACTGGAGCATGTGACAATTTGAAATTAAATTTAAAAAGTTGTTGTTCAATAAAATCATTTATTTAAACAAATTGGTCAAACTTTGGGCCTGTTGGACACTCACCTGCCACTTAGTGCTGGCAAATAAGTAAGGTTTGCTTGATTTTAAAGTCAAATATTAAAAACCACTTGCATGTGTTCTCTGTCAAACAATGGTCGACTATCACTTGACTGGATCAGCCCATRACTACACCAAACAGAAATGCTGTATGATCGTTAACCTGCCAGGAACAAGGCCATTAGTGCCAGCAGTGTTAATGGCAAACCGATTACAAACCATGATATATGCACCAACATGGTGATCCTTCAACCTATTGAATTCAGTTTTGAGAACAATGTTTTTACAATCAGGCCGCTTCAGCTATCTATTTATTTTTTTACCTGTATTATTTGTGTGTTTTAACCACACCGGCAAATTTAAAATTAACTTAAATTGCTCCCATTGCAATATTTTTCCCAAATACTTACAAATTTCTTTTTGTTTTAAACAGACAGGATTTTGTTTCTGTATGTTAGTGACCACTTATTTTCGTCTGCGATTTGTTAAAATTTAGCCATCAACAATATATATTTTTACCATACATTTGCTTAACTGACAATCAGTTAAGGGTAAGTTCTGTTCAACACTTTAACATTAGACATTGTGTGTGCCCCTTGCCCATGATAAAGCTCATTATTTGTTGCTCAACGTGCTCACAGAAGTGAACCTGTAGGCCTTTTTTTCGCTGAGAGCTCCCAGACCAAGTCTCCAGTGCAGCATGAGTTCACGAGTGTCAAGGTCTTTCCCTCCAGTTTGTTTGATGGTTTTATCCTCCTTCAGATCCTCAATTATGCACAAGAGCATCACATCTAAATTCAATCAATTGTAACTTGATTTCCTTTTTGTATCAGGGGATGAAGCCAAAAGCTTTTTGACTTCTTCAGAGCAGAGCTGCTTGTGGCATTGAATTTGTGTTGCTGAAGTGTCCAGTGAGTCATCTGTTCAGCAAAATTCCCACACCATTTAAAATAATTCAATCCAATCCTTTAGAGCCAAAAAACATCCTAAAATGCTGGCTATTTCCGCACAAGTTCAAAACAGCCATGATTTGCTGCCTTTAGTTTGAATAAGAATATTATTAATTTTTTTTTTTCATCAAAAGTGGTCATGTTTTCTTCTCTGTGGATGCCTTCATTCAGGGTGCAGATGAAAATGATTCCTCTCCTTMAGATTCTGGATTTCTCATAAAAACTGAGTTTTAATGTTTCAGTAACAACTGACTTTTGATACAGTGTGTGTTGAGACGTCACTCTTCCACCATTTCCAAGGTGAGCTGYAGATGGTTTGAACTTCTTCAGGAAAGTTTTTTTTTAACCTAGATAAAACATAAAAGCGAATTAGCCACAGTTAAAAAAATAAATTGTAGCATAATAATTTCTTTTCTTTTCTTACATGACAGAAATCCACGACCCCTTTAGGAAAAGCAATCCCCCTGGACCTCATGCAGTCATGCACATGCAGCAACATGCCTGCCTGGAAGTGCTACATGCTACAACAGGCCAAAGTAGTGCAGGATTTAGCTCAGGTGTTTAGTTCCCACGTTGAGCGCATAAAAGTTCTTCACACTTTTTCTATCGTCTGTCRCTTACTGTAGTACTCGTTAGTCAGCATTACCCCCTCCCCCTCCCCTCCGCTGATGAGAAAGTAATTACCATTTGTTTTTTWCCTTAGTCCCAGTGGCCTGGCAGCTTTTTCCCAGAATCTGCCTCCTCACCTGCCTTCATCTCGGCGTCTGCCTCTCTCCCAGACTCTTCCTCTTGTACCTCTTCTCCCTTTCACTGTGGCTGCAGACTCTCTCTCTCTCTCTTTCTCCATCCTCTCTGCAGCCTCTCTCCTTTGCTCCTCCCACCTCTGAGCTCCAGGCTGTTCTGGGTTTTAGACGGATCACTCTCACAATGCTTGATCAATACAGGTATTGATCTGCTGGCAAAATGTTTATAAAATCATTATGGGCAACTGCAGCTCAGTGGGGAGGAGGGTGGGAGGGGCGACAASATGGCCTGCTTGCCATGCCATTTGCCTGTAAAAGAGCCTGCATGTGTCTGATTGGATGGCTGTGTGCATCCTTGTCAGAGATGGGACAGACGCATCGGTTAAMCACAACTCTACTTTCATCATCCACCTTAACTTTCTGGTCAACCAAATTTGTGTTCAGTCATTGTTTTTTATCTGCTTCATTATTCCAGTCTAATAATTCACTTTCATTTCACCTTCTAAATTTCTGAAAAACAAACAAACAAACAAAAAATACCTAAAGGAATCCAAATCACATGATGCCTTGCAAGTCAAAGTTTTCAGCAAATAAGTTGTACGATCTGTTAATGTCAAGTTGAGGATTACTCTGAGCTACTARTACACARCATTTAGCTCAGTATTTGTAAAAATAAATGTATTTGAGCCAATTTTGTTTGATAAAGTAGCTGTGACAGCCAGTTTTATTTAAAGGGGACATCATTTTAAATCCTTTTTCACATTTAAATCATTCAGCTGGTGTCTATATAAGATAGAACTGCAATGCTTTGGTCTGAATTCCTCGTTATTGTAACTCCACAATCCCCTCTTTAACCCCTTTTCYRARGTGTRTCTCAGATCAACTCATTTTCAGTCTCTTYMAATCCAAATGAGATGCTTCAGACCCCGCCTCTTCCAGCTTCCTACAGTGGTTCATTTTAGTTTGAGAGAGGGCTTTAGGACTATATAGCGGTGCAGAAACATTTTATTTAGAAATTAATTACAAAATGTCAACAACTGAAGACTTGTTCATCCATCCTTACATGTAGGAGCCAGAGTCTGACCCAGAGTCAGATGGGAATGAAGACAACCAATTTGTACAGTATTTGGTCCAGACCTGATATGTTCATTCCGTCGCAAATAATTTGACMTTAATAGTTCAGAAAATGTCATATAAAATTAAAAAACATAGAACAGGTTAAAACATCTACACAAATATCTACACAGCAYCAGGAGAGAAGAAATTCTAATGTTCTGCACTCTRGAGACTTCAAGCACACAACAAAATGTATTTAATGSCTAAAAAGTGGATATTGCATGTCCGTTTAAGCTGACTCTRAAAGGTAATCAGTTGCAGATGTGCTTCCAATCATTACTTTGAGTTTATAATTAAACTTTGTTAAGTCATTCATGAGCTAGTTTGCTAACAGATTTAACACACAAAGGCAAATAAATGATTGCTCGTCTTTTATGGTGAAAAAAAAAGCAAAACACAATTACAATACCGCTGTTTCCACATGTTCAAACATTTAATCTACGGTGAATACTTCAGAAACTTTCCACATGGTGATAAAAAAGTGTGTTGATTCACATTTGAGTAAATGTGATTTGACTCAAAGGTATAAATGTACGGAGGAACATCTGTTCACAGCAAGCAACTGTTTTATGGTCATGAGCAGARCACAGGGCACTCTGGGGACTCATTCCTGTGGACTCTCATGCTCTGCAGCTTCATGTAAATAACACAACTCTGTTGCCGCCTTATTCTTCATTTGTATAGATAATTTGCTTCATTAGGCACAGCCCACATGTCACAGTTTCTTTGTGTGCTCTAACCTAAAGGAATCACACCCTATAGCTTCACTTGAGACAACTGAATGAGAAGTCATCAGAAACACCGCAAAACTTTCATGTTGYTCAACTACACGGCAGATTCACAGGTTATCCAAGCCTTTTCTCTAGGCAGTGGCTTCGGTTTACGCCTTGTTAATTGTTAATCTGCGARATGATCATTAG